CATCCCCAGTTTCCCAAAAAGAGCACTGGCATGCCACTATGTCACAGGCATTTTCCAGTAGGTATCAGTAATGCTCCACCATTGATCCATTGGTCACATAGCTCAAAGGCAGAACTTTCCAGGAACAAAGCCTTGCAGTTTGAATGCTGGAAAATACAATGTCCCCCATAACCCAAGATCAATCTGTAAGAAATGTGTCAGGATCCCTGCAACACATGAGTAACTGCATTTATTGTGCTTAAAATTACACAAAAGGAGCCACAGAGTTATGCTTTAGAAGACATTGATTATTTCAAATATCCCTATGACGTTACACTGCCTGTATGAATGTTTACTAAATCATGTCATCCCTACCCAACTCATTGCCTCAGCATGTGGTATTTCATCATAATGATGCATCATTGAAACAAACAAAATATCACACACAAAACTACATTAATGACAGAAACGTATGTTGGATTAAGACTTCAGTTAAGATATACATCCAAAAGCAACAACTCTTGGAATTTTCAGGGGTAGGATGACAGTCCAACTCTTTCTCCAGCTGTTATCTCACTTGCAGCTATTCTCTCCTGAGGATCATTATTCTTTTTTCCCTTCATCTGAAGTGGCCCTCCCGACCTTAGCAAATTTCCATCTCCTCTGCATCCATGTGACCCCCATCTCCTCAGGTTCTCTCACTCAGTCATACTCCTAATTCTTTATCCATTTCCCTTCGCCTCTCTTTTCTGATACAATCTAGATTCCAATGTACTGAGCAATTACTGGGAATTTCTCCCAACAAGCAATATACTTGCATAACTCTGTTTGCAGCCAGGTGGACATACTTTGTACTAAGCGCATAAAGACTTCTGCCGTGTTCTTTGTCTTTCAGCCTTCACAGAAATGTAGAACTTAAAACTTTCTAGCATTTACAAGAACCCCATTCTCAAGCACAAACAATAAGATTTCCAAGGCCTCATGCAAGAACAGGGAGGTGCTAGTTTCTTTGGCAGATGATGGCAGGCAGCCATGCTGCATAGTGGTGACCCTATTTGCTCTTCAGGTTGTCTCCCAGCAAACAAAATCTCTCCTCAACAGAAGAGCAACCATAAAAGGAAGACATGCACGTTTAGCCAGACTCTCCTACATAAAACAATCACAACATGGGCATAGCCAATATATAAACTCCACCATGAAGCTCAATTTTCTTATTTGTCTGATATATGATCAGATGTGTCTGAGGTTGGTGAAGCAAATACGGAGAGCTGTTTCTATAGCAAACTGTAAGAAAACAGGACTACTGCTGTTAAAACGAATAAGAAACTAGGCATGTAAAAACAGCCATGACCCCACCTGGGAGCAACAACTCAGCCACTGACTCCAACATTGGTGAAGAGGGGTGAGTCAGATGAAGAGGCATCACAGCAGCACCCCTGTGGGGCCAGCCAGGGGCCCTTTGACCCAAGTGCATCCAAACCAAGAGGACAGGTGATTTAAGGCTTTCTGCTTTGCATGGGAAAGGGGCAGAAGAGGGACATGGCCCTGGAAGACATCCACGTAGCCTAGACCATGTTCAAGCAAGCTGCTTGCTTAAAGCTCTTCATGCTTCTGCAGCTCTGATTTGCCATGTTACATGCTTGCTCTTTTCTTTGGGCTGCTGAGTTCAAAACAAGTCATATTTTAGAAAATAAAATCTTTGCTATATAAATATATATACAGATTGTGGAAAGCTACTGGGGAAGTTTCCAAGGCTGATTCAAATGTAAGAAGAGGCAACTGAACTCTGCCTGTAGCTGCTTTTGCCATGAATTAGCAAGTAAATGGCAGGTACTGAATTTTAGGGATTAGGTATAAAAAGTCCAATATTCATACATTGCTAAGACTTGGAGTACTTTGGGCTATATGTGCACCATTCAGGGATGAGAATCATTCCTTTGTTTTGAAGGAATGGCTTCCTCTAGATTTTTCTAATAACCAGAATATGTATCAAACTTTGGTCTTTACACTCTCAGAAAGTACCTCAGCAAAATCTCCATAAGAGTGAGAAAGGTGCTTGCCATTACGCAAGTACACATGTAACAGTGAAGTTATGTACACCTTCCTGTAATGAAGTTATATGTTCCTTTGACGTATGCACCAAATCCAAGCCTGAACAGCTATAAGAACTTTCCTAATTCAGCACTACACACCACCTGTAGTTTTGTGGTGTGGTTCAGTGGAACAGTCACCTCTGTTATAAGGTAAGCGTTATTTTCCCAGTTTTTGCTGATGTAAAGATTTCCCTTTTTGGACTCTTCAGTAATTAAGGTGCCTTAGACTACACATAGCACATTTGACAGGTCTCTAGATCATGTAGCAACACTGTAAACTGTCCATACTCCCATGCGCTAGCCAGTGAATCTGTGAGGACCAAGCATTGTGTAGATACAGTATTCGTTATCTGAACAACCACTGAATCAACAGATTTTGAGGAGATGTGGAAAAGGAAACCAATAGCAGTGGAGCTAAATAATATTAAAGGCAAGATAAAAGATTTTTCTTATAAGGACACTGAGAGTTCTAATTTTTTATGAAAGCCAGGGTGGCATACTGATTGGAGTGCTGGACTGGGACTTGGGAGATTCAGATTCTAGTCCCCACTTGGCCACGAAGTGCACTGGGTGATTTCACTGGGTTTCTTTTAGGAAAAAAGATGAGACAGAAATATATACATACATACTTTTAGGGAAATCATTCAGACTTTGAACTCTGTATATCCTTTTGAAGAGCTAAATTATCTATCATGTATGAATATCACAAATATAAATATGTGGGAGGGTCAAGAAAAATGCTGGGTAATGTATCTGAATTTTCTGGTCTGATAAATTTATATTCCAACATGCAAAGCTACACTAACATGGTTTTTACACTTCTGGATGATTTACAAAATAGGATTATGCTGAATCAGAGGCTATTTATTTAGCCATTCAAACCACAGCCCAGTACTTCAAAAGTGTTTGTCAGAACAACCTCCCTCAAAATTCTCTCTAGTCAAAGGAAAGCAGCTCCCTGTGTAGTGTCTGTACTTGGCAGGATTCCCACTCGCCTGTTCACAGCTTAAACACCAGTAGCAACAAAAAAGGAGAGAAAGGAGCAACCCAAAGATGCTGGTTCAACATGTAAACCAAGTGAATGCCAAAATTACTTAAGAAAAGTTTTGCATAATCTAGCTAAGGGAAGAGCCTTGGGTTTAAGCAGGTTATGAACCTGATCCTACACATGTCCATTACATGAAAATTCTCAACAGTACGTCTGTGTAGTCTCACTGTCAGCCTGCCATACTAAACAAGTGGCTTCACATCGGACACATCTGCACAATGTAGCAAACCACCCTGCAAATAAGGTATGAAATATGGGTTGTGGGTGAAACAACCCACAGTGTGTCTGACACACAACTGGGCTCAACCACGGATTATCCTTCACCTCCTTACCCCACAGTTCTCCTTCTATCCTGAAGAGCTGATGGCTGAAGCTATTTCATTTATCACTCTACTTTTTTGACACCCCTGCAGTTCCTCCCTCCATTGTTCCTCTTTCGTAGACTTTTTACAATTTCCACCAGTGACAACCACTGGTAGCCTCTCCAAAATGCTGAAGCAGCACACTAGAACAACTGCTTTATTTCTTTTATTCTTATTTAAATATCCCAACTGTATGCAAGTATTTTCACATTTTTTTAGAAAAGTATCTGCACACAAGGGCCAGCAGTTTGGCACTTCTAAAATACTCCCCCTGCAAAGATGATAATACTTGCACATACCTGGGGCACCTAAAAAAAGAAAAGTAAAAAGGGTGGCAGACCAGTGATGACAGCTTCAGTGTGCCCTTTAAGCACTTTGGTGAAGCTTAAATTGGCAGAGATTGTGAAAAGACTGCAAAATGGGGGGAAGCAAAAAAGCTGTGCTGGTGGTCCAGGTTTAGCCGGCACAGCAACCCCCTGTGGCTTGACATCAAATCTTGCCAGTGACTGGGTTTATATGACATAGCAACCTATCATCAAGCCACGGTGCTGATGATAATTATGATTAGAGATAATGTAATAATTTTCAATATTTCATTTCCAAAATCTAATGGTGTCATTGCCAAAAACAAACAAACAAACAAGATGCTATCTTCTTTTCATCTGTCTATCATAAGTGCATACAAGACAAAGACCTGGTTTGTATATCACAATATATCAGTGATCCTGTTATTCCAGAGAATCCTGACTTAATGGGATCAAGCAAGCAAGTGCCCACTCACTCCAAATTGGTGCTTCCTACCATAGGGAGTGTCTTAACAAACCAAAGACTCTTGATCCATAGACGTGATCCCCTGATCCATAGGGATTCTAGCTTGTCTCTCCCCCAACAAGTCAGAGCCAAAAACATGGTTTGTTCTTGGCTTATGATTCTGGATTGCTGGAGAGCAACATGGCATAATCCAAGGTTCAGATGTTTCCACTTGCAAGAAAAGCCAAGTGGGTGCAACTGAGTAGCACAAGAACACTGAAATTATGTCCAAATCTGTCTAGTATGTTTCAGATGTATGCAAATGCTATTACTTCCAGCCCCATATAAGGTATACAAACTTTTAAGGGGACTGTGTTGCCCTAAAGTGCAAAGCAAAACTATTAATAGTGCAATGTTTTGTTTCTTCCCAACATGCCTAATAAAACAAATAAAAATATACATGCAACATAGGCCAGCTATGCAGGACTCTGAAAAGTTTTGTAATATCAAGTTATAATACTAAGAAACAATGCACTCATTCAAGGGTAGCCAGACTTGCACAACAGAAGAGCCACATTACCTAAGAGTCAGATGTTTGAGAACCACAAGCGGATGCCCATGGGAGGCAGTGGTGCATGGGCACCCATGGGCACCCGCAGCATTAAGCAGCAAGGCGCCAAAAAAACTCAAAGAGTCACAAGCAGGTCCCAAGCCTTGGTTTGGCCACCCTTGCACTAGTTTTTTAGAAGATTAAAAATAGATACTTACTGAGTGCAAACTTTCATTTTCACGAAGACATGCTGTTTGGAGTTCTGATTTTAGGGCTGTAATGTGATGCTGGTGGGATGCTATTTCTCTTTCTAGGATGGAAATTCTGGAGACCGCAATTTGATAGACATCCATAAAGCTTACAATCATAGCCTTAAAGAAAAAATAATGGGGAATTATTATTGCTGATAAAGGCTGCCACCAAGCCTGTGCCAACTATGCTAAACTACATGTTTCTGAAGTTGTGATATCCTATTATCTAGTTTGCATAGAGTTAAACACACATTAAATTTAAGTACAAAATATCAATGCGTCCTTAAATAAAGCAAATTGTATGCATTTCTACCAATGGTAGAAATGTGTTATACTTGCAAAGGTTTCCCTCCCTGCTACACTGTTTAAAAAGAATTACATTTTGAAGCCTAAACAGAGCTTTTTGGACTCTACTTAAACTTATCTCCCAGCTAATTTCACTCACCAGAGAACACCACCAGAGGTAACTATGAACATTTTCAAAATGAATGGAGTTGCTAATTCTCCCAACTCACCTTTAAAAAGAATTAGATTTAATTTGGCATGAAACTAAAGAAAGTTACAGACCTCTGAAAGTAAATAATCTGATTACAATATAGCTGGGAAAATAATTCTGTTCAGGTATATAGTGGAGGAATGTCCCAGCCGTGTAATATTGATCAGACCGATAATAAAGTTAACTGCACAAGAGAGTATAAATGATTTGGCAGTGCTGGTAACTTGATATCTGACCTAAATAGTATAACACTGTTGGGATTATTGGACTTCTTTACAACTGGTTAATCACATTTTATAGGTTATAGTTTCCCTCTGAAGTGACCTATACTGATTTTTCAAATGTAGGAACAGCATTAAGGCTGATAAAAAAAATCTAGTTCTTTATTGAATAAGTGAAGATTAAAAACAGGTATGATGTGGTCTTTAGCCATTTTTTCCCTCAGATTAAACAACTTGATGTCAGGCTGGTAAACATGTTAGGATATCATGTTCAGCCCTAGGTATTCCTGAAACACTTTTGAGGTTCGCTGAAATGAGAGGGCTGATCTGATCTGTGGGCGGCAGCAGAAATATTAGTTAGAAGTAATAATCTGTTTAGGCCTGCTCTGGAGTCAGGGGAGACAAATATGCAAATTTACGGTACACCAGCAGACTGCAGCATTCATTTCTCACTAGCATCTTTGGCTGCACGTGGCCAGTTGTGCACAACTCTCAGAGATTTCCAGATGAGGCTTTCATTGTGTGCACTTGTCTTGTCTCAATCCCAGAATTAGACAGGGGAACCAGGTATCTTCCATTTGAAATGGCTCCATACTTTTCCATAATTTCCTCTGTCTTTTTCTTACCATAAAACAAAACTTGTTAAGGAGGAAAAGATGGAATAGCTGCATGATGCCTTCTGGTTGGTAGTGCTAGCATTTCTCCATCTGGAAGCACCCAGTTACTGTATCATGAGGCAGGAAGGGGAGTGTACCATGAAATGAAAGTAGGTTGTATAGCTGCTGTGCTTGGCAGATTTTGCCCTGTGCAACCTCAGTCTTAATAAATCCAAGACTGTTTTCACACATGGTACTAATACTGCCTGAGTCAGAAAGGTGTCACTTATGAATGATGCCAATACAAGGAAAAGAGCCTTATTATTAATAATAATTAATAATATAATAATATAATTATTATATATATGTTCATTACAAAGGAAGGATTGAAGGTGTTTTTTCACCAATCTACAGACATGTTTGTTGAAATAAGCCAAACTGTTACCAAAAGGACAAACAACACAGACAATATTTTTTGTGGAGAATTGCATACCCTGATTTTTTTTAACCCTACTTAATCATGCAAAAGCAAAAGCTTATCACTTACTGCACAAAATTCATTTATTTATTGTTCTCAATTACAGTAGGCTAGTCCTTGTTCTTCATTTTTAACACAGAAAAGGTTAAAAACCACTGTGTTATTCTGTTCAAATATCAGAAAGTTATAAAGTACAAATGACTAGACAGAATAACATCTTATGTAATCATAAAAAACTGGAGCTATTAGGAATCCTGCTATGATCCAGTTTAATCTCCCAAGTGAAATTTAGACAGGGCTATATACATTTTAATTTGGACAAGTTCTTTGAGGTAACATTTCCTACTTTCCCAAAAGGAACCACGGAACGTTCAGTATCAAGTGTTCAGAGTCTCATATTTAAATCTCAGTGGAAAGATGGTATTTCCAGTAGTCCAGTGTATTTATTAGTGTGCAGCCAAGACCTGATTTATTGCTGACTCAGCAAAAGTATCCTATGGGATAATTAAGAAAAATCAAGATTTCTGTTTAGGGGGAAAGAGCACTTATACAGTGTCTACGGTTTATAATGTAGAACTTCACTGTTGCTGAAATGTCTGCAAGGTTTACAGTGCAGGGCCCCTCTTTTGTTCTACATCATTCTAGACGATGCAAGTTTTTGGCAATGAATTTTTGGACTGTTCATTACATCTCAGATTTAAGATCACTTATCCTGCATGCTCATGTTCCTGAGGAGGAACAACACCTGGCAGGAGACCGCGCCCGCGCCCGAGAACCGCACCGCGCCCAAAGACCGCGCCGCGCACGCGCCCGAAGACCGCGCCGCGCACGCGCCCGAAGACCGCGCGAAGACTGCGCCGCGCCGCCGACTCCGCCGCTACCTGACTGCCCTGCCACGCCCCTGCACACGTGGCAGGTGTGCCCGGACGGGGTGGGGCGTCGGGTGGCCGGCGGCTACAAAGTGCTGCAGGGGGGCGTGCCGGCGGGAGGAACAACACCTGGCAGGAGACCGCGCCCGCGCCCGAGAACCGCACCGCGCCCAAAGACCGCGCCGCGCACGCGCCCGAAGACCGCGCGAAGACCGCGCCGCGCCGCCGACTCCGCCGCTACCTGACTGCCCTGCCACGCCCCTGCACACGTGGCAGGCGTGCCCGGACGGGGTGGGGCGTCGGGCGGCCCGCGGCTACAAAGCACCAGCAGCGGCCAAAGGGCGTCGGCCAAAGGGCGGTTTGCCGCCGTTTGGGGGGGCTGTTCGGGGGGGGGCTAGGCTGGCCAGGGGACTTGCTCTTTTGTTGTGGCAGTCCCTTCTGTTGAACGGCCAATTTTAAATGTTTTATAATTTTAAAGTGTTTTAACTTGTTTTTATGGAGTCGTCCCTGGCCATGTTGCCGCCTGAGTTTCCTGGGGAGCGCACTGGCGCCGCCATTGGTGTGGTGATGGGCAATGGACGTAATAGCGGTGGGGGCTTAACGTGTCTGCATAGAAGAAGGAGGGACAGATGGCTGACACCTGTCCCTACTTCTGGTTTTGCTCCCAGCCAGAAGGTGCCAGGGAGTCTTGTCAGTCGCCCCTCGGGCCTGACGGTGCTGTTGTTTAATGCCAGGTCGGCCAATAACAAATCTGCCCTCATCCATGACTTGATTGTGGATGAGGGGGCCGACCTGGCCTGTATAACGGAGACCTGGGCGGGAGAGGGGGGGGATGTTGCCCTCTCTCAATTGTGCCCGCCCGGGTATATGGTCCAGCACTGTTCACGGCCGGAGGGGAGGGGAGGGGGGGTCGCTTTGGTTTACTGGGCCTCCATCACTCTCACGGGACTTCCTGTCCCTTCGAGACCAGGGCTGGAGTGTCTCTACTTGGTGTTGGGCGACCGAGACAGATTGGGGATTCTGTTGGTGTACCGTGCACCCTTCTGCCCAACAGTCTCCCTGCCTGAGCTGACGGAAACGGTCTCGGACCTGGTGTTGAGGACCCCCAGGATGCTGGTCCTGGGGGACTTCAATATCCATGCCGAGGCTAGTTTGACCGGGGCGGCTCAGGACTTCATGGCTTCCATGACGGCCATGGGGCTGTCTCAACATGTCACCGGCCCGACCCATGAACGTGGACACACTCTGGACCTGGTTTTCTTGACGGGGCAGGAAGAGGGTGGTCTGAGGGTGAGGAATTTATGCTTGACTCCCCTGTCATGGTCAGATCATTTCCTAGTGAGGTTTGTGCTCGAGAGCGACATCTCCCTCTGCAAGGGTGCAGACCCGATTGTGTGGGTCCGCCCCCGGAGCCGGATGGATCCAGAAGGATTCCTGAAGGCTCTGGGGGAGTTTCCGGCTGACAAGACGGGTGCTCCTGTCGAGGCTCTGGTTGAACTGTGGAATGGGGAGATGACCAGGGCTGTAGACACGATCGCTCCTAAGCGTCCTCTCCCATCGGGCAGAGCCCGCTCTTCCCCTTGGTACACTCCAGAATTGAGGGCAATGAAGCAGGTTGGGAGACGGCTAGAGCGTAGGTGGAGGAAATCACGTGATGAATCTGACCGAACACACTTAAGAGCCCACTATCGGGCCTATGCTGTGGCGGTGAGGGCGGCGAAAAAGAGACACTTCTCCGCTTCCATTGCCTCCTCACAATGCCGTCCGGTGGAGCTCTTTCGAGTGGTGCAAGGCCTGGTTCACCCAGGGCCAAAGGAAGAGCTGATTCCACCCTCAAAGGCCCGCTGTGACGACTTTGCCGAGCATTTTAGGGAGAAAATCGCTCAGATTCGTCACGAGCTGGATTCCACTATTGATTCAGAGGTTTTAAGGGAGACACCAACGCTACCGTCTGGTCCAGAATTATTGGATGAATTTCAGTTATTGCGGCCTGATGATGTGGACAAGGTGCTTGGACGAGTACGTCCTACCACTTGCCTTCTGGACCCTTGCCCGTCTTGGTTAATAAAGGATTCCAAGCACGGGATTGGAACCTGGATCTTGGAAGTGGTTAACGCTTCTCTGAGGGAGGGTCGGGTGCCTGCTCCTTTAAAGGAGGCGGTAGTCCGACCGGTCCTGAAGAAGGCGTCACTGGATCCAGGGATGGCCGCTAACTATAGACCAGTGGCCAACATCCCGTTTCTGGGCAAGGTGTTAGAGCGAGTGGTGGCGGGACAACTCCAAGCACTCTTGGATGAAACTGATTATCTGGACCCATTTCAGTCCGGCTTCAGACCCGGGTACGGTACTGAATCTGCCTTGGTCGCCCTGTACGATGACCTGTGCAGGGAGAAGGACAGGGGGAGTGCGTCCCTGTTGGTTCTCCTGGACCTCTCAGCGGCTTTCGATACCATCGACCAT